TATGTCCAGATATACAGTTATATTCATAATAATCTTCATTCTGTACGTGGCAAATATTGGGGAATGAAATGAGAGCAGCGTCCTTCAACATCAGTGTGTGAGTGTGTGCGTGAATGGGTGAATGAATGTAGTGTAAAGCGCTTTGGTCAAGTCTCCTAACTTGAATAAAGGCGCTATATAAGTACATGCCATTTACCATTTACCATAACTAAGAACAAAGTGTAATATTGTGTCTACTCATGTCTCCTCATCTGCTAACGTGTGTGATGTAATGATGTGGTGATGTGGCAGACTGGAGATGTATAAAACGCCTTTAATCTCAGAATTCTGACTTTTTTCTCAGAATTCTGACTTTTGTTTCAGAATTCTGACTTTAATCTCAGAATTCTGACTTTTTCTCAGAATTCTGACTTTTGTTTCAGACTTCTGTCTTTTTTCTCAGAATTCTGACTTTAATGTCAGAATTCTGACCTTTATCCATTATTAAACTGAAATAAAATGTAAAAATCTGTTAACTTTTTTTTTCAGTGGCCCTAATCCTCTTCCGTATCGTGGCGATTGTTTGCCAAGTCAAACATCCATTAAAAAAGGTTCCATTAAACCATCATTAAGGCACTGGGGTCAGGTTTCTATAATCGGGCAAAAGAATGTTCAATGTCCAAACTTCATGATTGTTCTCGATGATATATTTTCCTATTTCAGCCAGAGATTACATAGTTCAAACTTTCATTTATTCTTTCTGCTACCTCTCCTGTTCTGCTAAAAACCATGGGCCCCAAACCCAAAATGCCTCCTGGCCCCCACACTTATAGAAAGTGGACTATTCCACATCATTTTCTGTCTCACTTCAGAACAATAAATAAATAGAAAATAATAAAACAAAGATAAAAAGAATCAACAATTATTAACCTGTGAATAAACCCTGTAATTAATAATATATATATATATAAATTTAGGAATTTATTTACACAATTCAAAGTGTATATAAGGAATAAATAGCTCCAACACATATGTTCAACTCCTACTGCTGGGTTTGTGTTTTGAATTATTACAATTAGCATTGATAAATATATCCTGATGTAATATATCTATTTTATCTTCATGTTTTACTTTCATTTCTTTTAAATAAATTAATTAAATCCTAATGAATAATTCTGTGAGTTTTACCAAAGTAGGACAGCAGTTTTCCTAAATCTGTGCTGTTCCTTTAAGAGGTCAAAGCGAGCGCTTGGTTTCCTAGGAGACATGTTGTTTACTTCCGGGTTGTCGCTAGCCAGAGCGACAACACGCCCAAAACAGCGAGCAAAGCGGATTAAAGTCCCGTTAGAGATGGCAGAGGAGAACGAAGACGAGATACCAGGTGAAATAAAGATGATTTAGATTAATGTCGGAGCTTTAAAGGAGAATTTTGTGATATTAACGTAGAAAGTGCGTAACCTGGCAACGTCCGGGTAATTAGCTACATCAGACCCTCACGTTAGCTCCTGCATTAGCCCACAGGCTAACGAATAAAGAACATATTAGTTCATATTTTCTTCAACATTAACTTTATGTGCTCCGTTTGTTGTTTTTAAGGGTTCATTAAATT